ATGTGTATGCAGGTCAGGAAGCAACAGTTAGAACTGAACATGGAACAACAGACTGGTTCCAAATAGGAAAATGAGTACGTCAAGCCTGTTCACTGTCACTGTGCTTATTTAACCTATACGCAGAGTACATCAAGAGAAACGCTGGGCTGGATGAAGCACCAGCTGGAATCAAAAGATTGCCGGGAAAATATCAAAAACCTCAGATTTGCAGATGGCACCATCCTTATGGCAAAAAATGAAGAAGAACTAAAGAGCATCTTGATGAAAGTGAAGGAGGAGAGTGAAAAAGTTGGCGTAAAGCTCAACATTCAGAAAACTAAGATCATGGCATCTGGTCCCACCACTTCATGACAAATAGATGGAGAAATAGTGGAAACAGTGGCAGACTTTATTTTTTTGGGCTCCAAATGCTGCAGATGGTGACTGTAGCCTTCAAATTAAAAGATGCTTACTCCTTGGAAGAAAAATTATAACCAACCTAGACAGTATATTAAAAAGCAGGGACATTACTTTGCCAACAAAAGTCGATCTAGTCAAGGCCATGGTTTTTCTAGTAGTCATGTATGGACGTAAGGGTGGGACGATAAAGCAAGCTGAGCACTGAAGAATTGATGCTTTTGAACTGTGGTGTTGGAGAAGACTCTTGAGAGTCCCTTGGACTGCAAGGAGATCCAACCAGTCCATCCTAAAGGAAATCAGTCCTGAATATTCATTGGAAGGACTGATGTTGAAGCTGAAACTCCAATACTTTGGCCAATACTGATGTGAAGAGCTGACTCATTTGAAAAGACCCTGAGGCTGGGAAAGACTGCAGGCAGGAGAAGGGGATAACTGAGGATGAGACAGTTGGATGGCCATCACCGACTCGATGGACATGGGTTTGGGTGGACTCTCGGGAGTTGGTGATGGGCAGGGAGGCCTGGTGTGCTATAGTTCATGGGGTTGCAAAGAGTCAGACAAGACTGAGCGATTGAACTGAACTAAACTGAATATATTAGATGATGATGTTGTTTAGTCACTAAATCGTGTCTGACTCTTTGTGACCCCAAGAACTGTAGCCCACCAGGCTCCTCTGTCCATGAGATTTCCCAGGCAAGAATACTGGAGTGGGTTGCCATTTCCTTCTCCAGGGATCCAACCTGCATCTCCTGCATTGCAGGTGGACTCTTTACTGCTGAGCCACCAGAAAAGCTCCAATATATTAGGTAATAATTTTAAAGCTAGAAAAATGGGCCAGCATCAATTTATCAACAGATAAACATCAACAATTTAAAACTTAGCAAGAATAAATATGAAACAGTGCAAGTAAGTCAAAAACTTAAAAAGTACATCTAGGATAAGTGAAATTCTGCTTAAAAGCAGAGAAACAAAACAGAAAGGTTTTAAAAACAAGTTCAGTATAATAAGCCAACAACAAGACATTGCTGCCAAAAAAATTTTTTTTTTAATTTAGGGCTATATTAATGAAGTTATCAAGCCAAGATAAAGTGAGGTGATAGTTTCACTCTACTGCTCACTAATGAGCACAACTCAAACGTCATGATTTAAGAAACATGGTAAAAAGAGTGCATCAGAGGGAAAAAACTAGATGGTAAAAAGGGGAAGCCTTGCCAAGTGAAAAATGGTTCCAGAACAAAGGATATATAATTGGAAGAGAGGACTTTTCGAGCTTAACAGGATTTTAAGTAGACAATACAGAACAAACTTATTCTGTACTGCTTCAGTGTACAGAATTAGAATCAACAGGTAGCCAATAGAAAGAAGCAGTCTTCAGGTTCAATTCAGGAAAAAATATCCAGTAACTGGTAGAGCTTTTCTACGATGGAATGGACAAAGTAAAGGATCTTATCAGAGATGTCAAAACTTTTTTTATTGTGTGATTAGACCAAATCAGTATTTCCCAGCCCTAACACATATTAATAAAGTGAAGTTAAAGTCGCTCAGTTGTGTCCAACTTTTTGCAACCCCATGGACTACAAAGTCCATGGAATTCTCCAGGCCAGAATACTGGAGTGGGCAGCCTTTCCCTTCTCCAGGGGATCTTCCCAACCTAGGAATTGAACCCAGCTCTCCCACATTGCAGGCGGATTCTTTACCAGCTGAGCCACAAGGGAAGCCCAAGAATACTGGAGTGGGTAGCCTATCCCTTCTCCAGGGGATCTTCCCTACCCAGGAATCGAACTGGGGTCTCCTGCATTGCAGGTGGACTCTTTACCAACTGAGCTATAACAAAACTATGATGTTTTTTAAAATACAAATTCCCATAGTTGCCACCACAAGCCCAGAAGGTCTGGGAGAGGAATCTGCAAGACACCTCCTGGTGATTCTCATACACCTAGGAGCCCAGTGGTTCAAGATCCTACCTTTGGAAACACAAAATTAGATGGCCTTTAAGGATCCTTAGATTTTCAAAATTCTAATGAAAATCACCTTTATATAAACAGCTTGAGGCAGATTTATCTTTGTACATATATAAAAAAAGTACATCTGAAAGTACATGTCACTTTAACCAGTCTTCAATTTTTTCCCCTGAATTTGTAACAAAATTGTTGTGTACTTGAAAGTACTATTAATATATAAAAGAACTTCTCTAGCCTGAATGATTAAAAAATGATAATAAACATTCATTTAACAAACATTTACTGTGAGCCAATTATATGCCAGTAAACTAAAGTCAAATCATCAGGAAATTATAATACTGTGTGCTATCATACATGAAGAACAGAGTGCTGTAGAAGCAAACTGAAGGGAAGTGATAGATGTGTAATATTCTTGCATGACCACTCTGTCCTAAACTGCAAGACAGGAGGTGAAAGTTTTAAGAAAATGACCTTGTAATAGTAGTGTTAAGGTGAAAGCAGAGGTAGGGAGAAGAAAACTAGAGGAGAAAAAGTTGAAAGTATTTTATTTTTCCGCTTTAACCAGCACCAAAAAAAAAAAAGCCCTAAAATAAAAAAGTTGGTTTAGAGACAAGACTATTTTTCTTATGCAAAGAGTGAAAAAGGAGGAAAATCACGGTTACAAGAAATTGTGAAAAGAGAAGTAGAAAAACTGGTCCCTGAGAGTTGCAGAAGAAAATAAAAGAATTAGAACAGATAAGTGTCCTTGAGGTTCTTCTGTCAAGCGGCTCAAGCCCCTATAGCTCTTCATTCCCATCTCTATTTCCTAACACCATCAGACCAAGCCCACACACATTTTACAAGTAAGGCTTCTAGGATTCCTTGGTAGCTCAGATGGTGAAGAATCTGCCTGCAAGGCTGGAGACCCAGGTTCAATTTCTAGATTGGGAAGATCCCCTGGAGAAGGGAATGGCAACCTACTCTGGTATTCTTGCCTAGAGAATTCTGTGGACTGAGGGGCCTGGCGGGCTAGTCCATGAAGTCACAAAGAGTCAGACACGACTGAGTGAGTAACACTAAGTAGGGCTTCTACGTGGCATTACCAAAGACAAAACCTTCAACAGATCCGTCTTAGAGGTTCTGATATTGTCCTGTTCTCTGGCATTATGCCTTAATAATATCTATTAAAATATCTATAAAAATAGGTCAGATTAAGTGATAATATAGCAATATACCATAATCCTGATAGAAATCACCTTCAAAGACCATGTTATAAAAGTTTATCATGCATGTTGGTTGCATGCTGACTTGAGATAATAGGGGAAAAAAATGGTTCTAAAAGCAGATGTAATAAAGCTTTGAGGCTTATTAGAATGTCAGAACATAAGAGAAGAAATTTCTATTTTTCTCACAGTTGTATCCCCAAAGCTAGAATAGTGCTCAGAATATCACACTTAACAAACATTTACTGAATGACTGAATCACACAAGCATACAAAAATTAAAAGTATAATGGGACGAAAAATGCCTCAGGTTCAAAATTATAACTTTACTACTTACTAGTTGAAATCCTGAGCAATTTGGGACTATTGTCTTTTTCAAAGGATCAAGAGTGTGTGATCTTATGGACTATACAAGGGAAGCCCTCAAAGGATTAAGTGAGATATTAAATGTATTTGATAGCACATGCAAATGCTCCTAGTATAAAAGGCTTTCAATCAGATTAACTAATTTTCCAATTCCCTAAATGACAATTAAGTAACACTAAAAGCAAAACATATATGTCTTCAGCTTGTGGGAAAGAAGATAAAAGTAGGCTGGATTTAGAAAAAGCACAGACATCAATAACCTATGGTGTGGTGGTTTAGAGCTAAGTCATGTCCGACTTGTGACCCCATGAACTGCAGCCCACTAGGCTATTCTGTCCATGGAATTCTCCAGGCAAGAATACCGGAGTGGGTAGCCATTTCCTATTCCAGGGGATCTTCCCAACCCAGGGATCAAACCTGAGTCTCCTGCATTGCAGGGGGTACTCTTCACTGTTAAGCTACCAGGGAAGCTTAGATATTGTCATTTGCTTACACATACTGAAAATTTATTGGCCATTATTCTTTATCCCAAGCACAGAGTTAGGTACTAGGGATAAATGATGTATAAAGACATGTTATACCAGTAAATTCTGGGGAGTAGACATATTCACAGCTATTTGTTAAAAAAATTAAAACTCTAATTATATGAAAGTTCTAAGAGAAAAGGCATATAGCCAACAGTAATTAAGAGGTAAGCTGCTGATTATCTCCCTAGAAGCTTTCAACACTGACACGACCTTAGTAGGTTATGTAATTCTTTACTAATATTTATGAAAGATCAAGTTTTTGATCACTAAAGATAAGGATGTGACTGTGTTCGGCCTCTATGGTGAGCTATGTATCTAGAAATAGAGAAGGCTTCCTACTCTAAGTAAGGTGCTACAAGGAAAGGGAAGGGACATGCTTATCTTCCTAAAGGTGTAACCCAGATAAAAAAGCAAACAGTTCATTTTTTCTCATATAAAGAATATCTTTAATTGTACATATTTCTCCAATGCAGTGTCAAGATACTGTTACATATGATAGTGGTAATAAAAGCCACCTATCTTAAGAGTGAAGAGAGAAATCTTTACCTGATTTGTAGGTATTTTCGGCACATTCACTTTCCACATCTGGGCTTCCCTAGAGATTGCCTTTTCCAACAGGAAAGACAATCTCTGGTTTTCCAAAGGCCCTGGAAACTTCATGATATCCTATGGCTCTGCCTGCCACCCAGCTTGATGTAGCTACCTATAAAAGCAAATATAAAACAATGTTCTGTATTTAATTACACATATATAGTAAGTATAGCACTGTATAAATATGTTGGTACTTATTAAGCAATTCATAAAATAAAAATGTTATGAGGCAATATAGGATTTTACAGCTCTTTAAAGTACCATATATTAAAATGTTTACAATAATCATTAGTTATCTAAAACATTCTTCCTTTAAATCTGAAACTCAGTTATAAAGAGACAAAAACATGACCATATAATTGACAGAATCTTTGGATTTTGATCAAAACATCAATGTGTCAAAACTAAGTCATACGCTTTTTAAATTAGACATTTTTAGAAGTTGTTGTCCCAAATATTCCTGTTTAAAATCTAATCAGATAAGGGCTAAGCAGTCTCTTCATTTTAAAAAAAAAAAAAAAAAACCATTTCTACTTAGTACGAAACTATCCCCTTAAGTAAGAAACCATCTTGAACTCTGCTTCCCAATAGTGTCCACTAGCTACACATGCAGCTATTAAAATCAGAACTGAGTAAAGTTAAAATGTAATTCCACAGTCACACTAGCCATATTTGAAGTACTGAGCTGCTACATGTGACTAGTGAATACTGCACTGGACGGTGCGGAAAAGGAACATTTCTATCAAGGCAGTAACATCTACTTGACAATGCTGATCTAGAAAGCTCAACAGTAAGGTAACTGGTGCTAGCGGTAAAGAATCCACCTGCCAATGCAGGAGACATAGAGATGTGGGTTTGACTCGTGGGTTGGGACGATCCCCTGGAGGAGGAAATGGCAACCCACTCCAGTATTCTTGCCTGGAGAATCCCATGGACGGAGGGACCTGGCAGGCCCCAGTCCACACGGTTGCAAAGAGTCGGTCACAGCTGAAGTGACTCAGGATGCAAGGTAACTGGCACTCTTAAAATGAGCAAGTCTAAAAAGCAAAGTCTAGATCAGCACAAAGCATCTGAGAGTCTGAGAGATGTTTCTACATTAAAGTTAAAAAAAAAAAAGGAAACCAGAGATTTAACTGTGTGTAGAAAACTGGAGACACTGTGGAAGGATGTGAAAAAACATAATTAGATTTGATGACGGTTAAGTGCCAAAGAATTAATGCTTTTGAATTGTGGTGCTAGAGAACTCTTGAGAGTGCCCTGGACAGCAAAGAGATCAAACCAGTCAATCCTAAAGGAAATCAACTCTGAACATTCATTGGAAGGACTGATACTAAAGCTCCAATACTTTGGCCACCTGATGTGAAGAGCCAACTCTCGGAAAGAGACCCTGATGCTGGGAAAGACCGAGGCCAGGAGGAGAAGGGGGCAGGGGCAACAAAGGACGAAATGGTTGGATGGCATCACCAACTCAATGGACATATATGTGCATGCATGCTCAGATTCTGCAACCCTATGGACTGTAGTCAGCCAGGTTCCTCTGACCATGGGATTCTCCAGGCAAGAATTCTGGAGTGGGTTGCCCTTTCCTATTCCAAGGGATCTTTCTGACCCAGGGATAGACCTGCATCTCTGGAGTCTCCTGCACTGGCAGATAGATTTTTTGAGCAAACTCCAGCAGATAGTGAAGGACATGGAAGACTGGCATGCTGCAGTCCATGGGACTGCAAAAAGTCAGACACAACTCAGTGACTGAACAACAAAGCAACTAAAAAGGTTATTAAATTCAGAAAGAGATTATGCAAGAAAGTAAATATAAGAAAATATAATAATATAAGAAAAGCTATGAAAACCTGGACAGCATATTAAAAAGCAGAGACATTACTTTGCCAACAAAGGTCCGTATAGTCAAAGCTATGGTTTTTCCAGTGGTTATATATGGATGTGAGAGATGGACCATAAAGAAAGCTGAGAGTCGAAGAATTGATGCTTTTGAACTGTGATGTTGGAGAAGACTCTTGAGAGTCCCATGGACTGCAAGGAAATCAAACCAGTCAATCCTAAAAGAAATCAGTTCTGAATAGTTATTGGAAGGACTATGTTGAAGCTGAAGCTCAATACTTTGGCCACCTGATACAAAGAGCTGCCTCATTTGAAAAGACCCTGATGCTGGGAAAGATAAAAGGCAGGAGCAGAAGAGGACTAAAGAGGATGAGATGGTTGGATGGCATCAATGACTCAGTGGACATGAGTTTGACCAAGCCCCAGAAATTGGTGATCAACAGGGAAGCCTGGCGTGCTACAGTACATGGGGTCGTAAAGTCGGACACAACTGAGCAACTGAACTGAAATATATTAATATACCACAATATTTACAAAGCAATAATAATGAAAATACTGAATAGAGATTTCAACACAAACACTGTGATAAAACTACACTGGTGGGATGAGGGGAGTTAGAAGGCAGAATGAGAGCCTCATCTTTATATTTCAGAAGAAAACATAAATATCTAAAACTCAAACATCAAAAAACAGCAGTAGTTATCTGAAAGTATGATTTTTAAATAACAAGAGAAAAAGCTAAGAGTGGTTAACCTCTAGGGAATGAGAAGAGCAGAGCGTGGGGAAGTCAAGCATCAGGGGAATGCTGTTTTTCATTGAAGACCTCGAGTAACTATTCCATTTTATTAACTATGTACCTGTATTACCTATCTGCTTCAGATCCCAGGGATTCTTTAAAAAAATGTTTTAATGTCTAGTTTTAACACACTAGACAAAAAGGAAGTAGAAAAGTCCCCACTTTTTTTTATAAAAATTAAAATTAGAAAAGACAAAATATACAAGGCTAATCTTCAATTTCTGTGTTCCCTCTGGCCCAACTCTAGCTAATATCCTCTTTCCTATGAATCACCCCACATATTTCACTGACTTACTGCTTAACCTACTGCAAACTACCTCCAGTGAACAGTGATTTTTTTCTTTTTGCTTCTTAAACTTCTGGATTTTGTAAATTTTCTATATCAAGCATGAAGTGCTTTTTATATTAAGAAACAAGTTAAATAACTTAAGAGAGTGGAAAATAGAAACTATCCTGAAAAGTCCATCTAAAAGGTAAGTTCTTCCAAGAACTATCTTCCTTATAAATTCCTTTGCATTCATATCTACCAATATCATGTTTTTGTAACCCACAGGGCCCACAGCAGTGTCCTGATGAAACAGAGATAGAATCAAAAGTTCATTTCAACCCTTGGGGCCAAAACCAAAAAACTATAACCAAAACAAACCCAAGTCTGATCTCTTTCAAAGAGCAAGCCTTCAAATGTTTGAAAGCTGTTAGCATGCTCATCAGTTTATCTTCTGCAGAAACGAAAGACTATTCAAGAGTTCCTCATGTGACATGATTTTTGCTCTTCAAAATTAGCACCAATTATTAATGCCCCCTAATATCATGAGCTACTTTTTTTAAGAGGCTATTTAATTACCAAGACAAAATTTATGTTCAGCTAAAACTCTAAGACTTTCTAAAGTACACTCTTAGGCAAACTTCTCTACCTCCCTGCCTCATCATGCGTGGGCTTTTGGTGCCTTTTTTGGGGGTGGGGAAGGACGTTACATCCTTGTTCAGGACCTTAAATGCATTCTTTCTTTAAACAAAGTCATCTTGTTAAATTCCATTTACTGTTATATTCTGCTGAGATGTTCTGAGATTCCAATTTTGTTGCCGTGGTACTTTTCTCAAATTCTCCACAATCTGAAATAAACAGACTTACTATAACTTCATTTAAAGTAAACATTAATATCAACCTCACAAACAAGAGTGTGAACTAGATAATCATGTGTCAAGAGGTATTTAGAAGAAATACCTATACTGGATGCAGACTGAACTCCTTAGGTTCTAAGACTTCTTCTAAACCTAATTTTAATCAGTAATTGACTAACTCTTGTCAAAACTTATTTCATTCCTTTAGCTACTCTCACGAGGGTGGCTCACCAGGATCTGCCAGCTTTCTAAAATTACTAAGACAAACTAAAAGAAAACCCCATGCCCAAATGGCATCACTGGTGAATTCTACCAAACATTTACAGAAACATTGAGACAAATTCTTCACAAACTCTTCCAAAAAATAAAGAGGAGGAGTCCTTCTCAACTCATTTTATGAGGGCAGTTATGATCCTGCTACCAAAATCAAAGACTACAGTAGGAAAACTGTAGACCAATATAGATCTCTTTTAAATACAGATGCAGAATTTGTCAACAAAATACTAGCAATCTGTATCTGAAAACATAAAAAGGGGATTATATACCATAACCAAGCTGGATTTAGCCCAGGAATGTAAAGTTGGTTTAACATTCAGAAATCAATGTAACACGCCACGAAGTGAAGTCTAAGTCGCTCAGTCGTGTCCGACTCTTTGCAACCCCATGGACTATACAGTTCGTGGAATTCTCCAGGCCAGAATACTGGAGTGGGCAGCCTTTACCTTCTCCAGGGGATCTTCCCAACTCAGGGATTGAACCCAGGTCTCCTGCATTGAAGGCGGATTCTTTACCAGCTGAGCCACAAGGGAAGCCCTACACCGTATCAACAGAAAAAACAAACAACAAAAAACACAATAGGGAAACATAATAAAGATCTCATATTTCCTTAAACTTCAAAAAAAATGGGATATAAATAATACAAGAATGGAGGACATCTGTGGGGATGTGCCAGATATTCCAAGCTACAGAAAAGTAAAACTGCAGTATCTGATCTGGCTATTGCAGATCAGATATAACTCAATATCTGGATCCTGTAGAGAGGGTCACTGTGGGTCTACTAACATAATGAGAATTCCGACAGATATGACAGAAGTCAAAGTATCAATGTTAGGGTTACTAAAGTGGGCAACTTCACTGTGATAACCGATGATCGTAGGACGGTCTCTCCTATTAACCTTGATGGCAAACACTCTCCAGAGTCCAGCACTGTGCTCAGTAAATAATAACAGTTTACACGTGTTGAGTGCTTAGCTAAAAAACATTAAGTGTTTATTACTTGGCCAGGTATTGTTCAAAATATTGCCATATGAACTCCTCAAACTCAAAGAAGGTATTTTTGGTGGTGAGGGTTTAGTCACCAAGTCAGGTCCAACTCTTGCAACCCCATGGGCTGTAGCCTGCCTAGCTCCTCCGTCCACAGGATTTTCTGGGCAAGAATACCGAAGAGGGTTGCCATTTCCTTCTCCAGGGGATGTTCCGGACCCAGGGATCAAACCCAGATCTCCTGCACTGCAGGCAGATCCTTTACGGACTAAGCTACCAGGGAAGCATATTATTAAGTTTGTATTCTTACTAAGCCTCTTTTAAAGATGAAGAAACATGCAGAGAAAGATGAATACTTTTCACCTTTGACTGTAGCATACAATCAAAATAAAGCATGTACACACGTTAAGCTTCCAATCTTAACCAAGAAACATTTGAGTTCTATTCTAAACTAGTTATGTCACACTGCCATGAAAATTCATTTAACTCAGTTTAACTGCAAACCATCCAAGTGCACCTTCCCAAAACACGCTGATTCTACTAGTCTGCTCTTCATCAGTATTAAGAAACTTCTAGTTCAGAAGCTTGGAATTTCTGATGTGTTTGGTCCCACACTAGCAAATCTGAATCCTGTCAATTCTTCCTTATTTGTCTGTTCCCTTCTACTTTGTCTGCCACAAATGACCTGGAAAAGCTAGAAGCTGATAACACTACTTTAATTTTTTCCAAGATACAGACTGTATAGCACAATCAGACTGCCTGGGCTGGAATTCTGGCCACCGTGTCCTGGCTGTCATCTAGCAGGAGAAATGACTTTTAAGGAGCCTCAGCTTCCCTCATCTGTAAAATGTTTCTGAACCACCTACCCCTGTGAAGATTCAGTAAGTTGCAAACCATTTAGAACCATGCCTGTCCAATAATATGCCTCAACAAGTGTTATTATTAACATCATAATGTCACACTGCTGTTGTTCAAACGCGGAGTGGCTCCCACCGACAGACTAAAAGTTGAATACTTTGACATCCGAAGTTCTCCAGTCTGATGCCATCCTACCTCCGGAAAGATACCTTTCCACTACTTTGCTACCTAATTCGCAACTCCTACCCAAATGATCTGCAGTGGAATCACTAGCTCGGCAGAGGGCCTTCCGCCCTCTTCAAATTTTCGGTCTTCTTAGCTGCCCTTAGGCTGCAAACTCTAAGCTCAGCTTCTTCGGCAGATCTCCCCACCCACCCAAAACCCCGGGTAACGTTTCTCTCCCCCGCCTTCCCGCAGGTTCTCCCCATCATCTGCTCCGCCCCCCTGCCCCGTCCCCAGAACCGCCCCCTTTGCAAAGTGAACTATCTTCCTCCGGCTCCCTTGGGGGCGTTGAGGTCTAGGGTTGGGGGTGTGTCCCGTTCTTTGTGTATCCCCCGGGCTCGCGGAGCCTAGAACGCGCCCTAGGAAGCGATTTGCTGCAGCTACAAAAAAAAGTTACGCGCTGACGGAAAAAACTGGCCCGAAAAGGAACCCAGCGGAGCTGTTTCAAACTGGGCACGGGCCGAGTTGTTGGTGAGGGGGGTGGGGTGGGGGCTATCCCGCAGGTTTCCCCGACAGGTCGCGCGGCGCTGGAGGGGGTCGCGCGCGGATGGCGGGGACCGCCCCCCCCCCGCCCCTCACCTTCTCCTCCTCCTCTTCCTCCTCTTCCTCCTCCCCGGCAGAACTGTAGACCTCAAAGTGGTGACGAGGGGTCATCCGGGGGCCCGTTACCACCTCATTTTCCTCTGCGCGCGGCGACGAGACGCGCGGGACCAGGACCGGGCCGACTGAGGAGGGAGAAGAGGGGGAAGCGGGCCGGAGGGCGCGGGCGCTGGCGCTCGAGCGGGACGCACGGCTGCAGCCGGTGGGTTGGTCAGCGAATTAGTTCCATGACGCCCCCGGACCTGAGGCCGCCGCCGCCGGTCCCGCTCCTCCAACCGCCGCCGCTTGTGCCCGGGTGGGGAGGGGGTTCCCTCTCGCCATAGGGCGGCGGGGGCCGGGGAGAGGCGGGGGGTGAGACCGGCTCTGCCCCTGCCCAGGGGAAGCGCCTCCGAGGGGAAATGGTGAAAGGGGGGGAAGGGGGGAAAATGAAAAAAAAAAAAAGGAAGGGGAAAGGGGGGAGAAAAATAAGAAAAAAGCGAGACAGAGGCGATGCCGCGTCCGCTCGCGGGGAAGGCTGGGGAGGGAGGGGAGGAGAGAAAGAAGTGCCGGCTTCCTCGGCCCCGCCCTCGCGGACCGATTCCTAGATTCGCTCACTCCCTGTAAACAACCCTGGTCTGTTCTCTCACCCTCCCACTTTTCCCTCTCCGTCCAACGGACGTACTCAGAAGTTCGGGAAAAATCTGAACTGTTGGCAACGGCCCGGGAAAGTCTTTGGCATTGGGGTAGGAGAGGGGTAAGGAAAGCTACAGGTGCGTGGACTCGTTCCCGTGGAGCAGCGGAAGGGTTTTCCATCGACGGCACGGTGACGTAAGCGCCTCCTCGACTCGCTGGAAAAGGCGTGCGGAGGCAGGAGAGTCCACTGCGCATGCGCCCGGGGGAAAGAAAGACAAGGCTGAGCGCTCTGCTAGCGGGTGGGGTTTTATCTGGATGCTGTCCTGGCCAAACCTAGGGCTACCTGGTTTTATCCAGCCTGTCTTTGTCTCTAGGGCTTGTAAAAGGATCTTTTGGGGAAAAGCCGGCAATCTGTTGTGTAAAAGTCTTGCATTCTTTGTTGACCTCGCAAAAAGTTCTGTGTTCTCATCGTTGACATAAAAATAGAATTGGCAGGGTTTTTTTGCTGCCACGTCGTGGGTGGAGGGAGATTCTAAAGTGTATTGGAGATCGGGGAAATTGCGGGGAGCACATTCTTAAGCACCTTTTCTTTTAAAACAGTAAATTACATTGCTGGCAGCCGGGAACCTACTTGGTAAGGCGCCAAGGAAATTCTGTACTCTTAACCAACGCATCTGAGTATTTCAGAGTAGGTTAACTACCACGTCTGTTAGTGAGTGTGTGATAACATATAAATGTGTTTTATTTGGGGTTTCTTTACAGACTTTGGTAATTTTTTGCTTATGTTTTTAAATTGTTGTAGTTATAAAAAGAATAGTAGAATTACAGAAAGTTTTGAAAGAGGAAAAACCCCCTCAAACTGAACTGTTTACAGAAGTAGTCACATTAGTGTTTTCCATTTCTGTTTTTTATATGCCTGTTTTTAACAATCACTTAAATTTGTTTTGAGCTTATTCAGCCAGCTAGGTGCTAATAAGCTCTAGCAAACTGGAAGTAACTCAGACAAATAACTTCTACCTTCGTGGAGTTTACTATCCAAACACAGAGGAAAACCGTGGAGCTAATTATCTTTAACTAAAATCACCCAGTAGGTTGATTTATTTCCTCGTACGTTGCATTCCCTTTGTAGAATATAAAGTCTAGGATGGCTGGGGTCTTGCATGTTTTCTTTTTCCCGGTATTCCTGCACGTAAAAGGCTCTCAATACTTGATTACTGACTGAATAAACAATACGAAATATTAAGATGGAAAATTGCAGGCTGCTATGGAAACACCTAATCCTAGACTAGTTAGGGATATCAGAGAAGGTTTCTGTGAGGAAGAGACATTTAAGATGATACTTGAAACCACTGGTCATCTAAGTGGGGAAAGTGTGATACAAGCAGAGGAAACAAATGCAGACTCTGGATCTCAGATATTAAAAAAATCTCTCAAAGCAGTGTGGCTGGTCTTCAGACAATTGAGGGGTAGAGCTCTGAGGTCAGAGGCAGAGGGCGGGTCCCTATGACAGAACAGGGAAGGGAAACCCTGAAGGGATTTTTAGAGGGTCGTACTTTGCTTTTTGTTTTTTAACCCCGGACTTCCCAGGTGGCGCTATCGGTAAAAGAACACCCCCCCCCCCCCACCCCACCCCGCCACCCCCTCCCCGCCAATGCAGGAGACAGAAGAGACAGGTTCAGTCCCTGGATTGGGAAGATCCCCTGAAGGAGGGCATGGCAACCCACTACAGTATTCTTGCCTGGAGAATCCCTATGGACAGAGGAGCCGGCTGGCTATAGTCCATAGGGTCGCAGAGTCAGACACAACTGAAGCGGCTTAGCGCACATGCATCCTTTTTCTTGCATGGTCTGTATGGCTGCATGGTCTTCCTTCTACACAGGCAACATTTTATTTTGCATAATACCATTCTTTGTTGAACAGTGAAATTGCTTAAGAATTACTGTAAGAATAATACCAATTCCATTCCCAGCTATATAGTCAAAAGAAATGTAAACATGTTCATGCAGAAACTTGTATGTAAATGTTCGTAAGGGCATTATTCATAATGACCGCGAAAAGGGAGACCACACGGACAACACACACAACTGCTGAATGTGTGGTCAAATGTCTACACAATGAAATGACACTTGGCCATAAGGAGGTACTGATATATGGTGTAACGTGGATGACCGTTGTGAACAATGTGCAGTCTTGTGTGGCTGGCTGCTTTTACTTAGCATAATGATTCTATTTATATGAAATGTTCAGAATAGGCAAATCTATAGACAAGAGTAGATTGTGCAGCTGCTAAATGGCTTCAGTCATGTCCGACTCATTGTGACCCTCTGGACCATGGCTCACCAGGATCCTCTGTCCATCCTGTGTCCTCCAGGCACAAATACTGGAGTGGGTTGCCATGTCTTCCTCCAGGGTATCTTCCTGACCCAGGGATCAAACTCATGTCTCTTACCTCTCCTGCATTGGCAGGTGGATTCTTTGCCACTAGTGCCACCTGGGAAGCCTCAGAAAGTAGATTAGTGGTTGCTTAAGATTAAGAATGGAGATGTAATTGGGAAATGATGAGTAAAAGTTTTGGGGTTTCAAAAGAAAATATTTTACAGTTGATTGGGGTGATGGTTGCAAACTCTTAAGTTACTAAAAGCTATTGAATGGTACACATTAAATGGGTGAATTATCTGAGATGTGAATTAGATATCAAGAAAGCTGTTACCAAAAAAATGAAGGGAAAAAACAAAAAGAACAATTAATATCTTCAAGTGTAACCTTTTCTGGGTTATTTGCATTTTTATGGCTTTTGATGAATACCAGTTTGCCAAAGTGCTTGACAGAAGAGTTGACTCAATTAAAATGTAACTTGGAGTATTTAAGAGCTCTCACTTCATTACATACTTAGCCTTTGTGAAGCTTAGTTTTAATAAAACTGTCTTATTGTCTGTAAGATTGCCGGTGACAGTTTAATCTAAATACTATAAACATAGTTAAAAGTAATTAATTGGTAAGTAAGGAACTTGTTCCAGTTGTTCTAACAAAAAATATGTACATTCTTTTTCTTCATTGTGCATTCACAAGAATTTACATTTAATCACCATCACTTTTTTATTAATAACTAATATCATTTTTAAAAACGAATTGCAGTTATAACAAATGAAAAGTCTTTGAAATTCTGTGAGAAAATAAGGCATAGAAAGAAAACTTTAATACTACTATATTGATAGGGAATTCATATTTTTTCATTTAAAAAATTTTAGGAATATTTTATCCCAAATAATGAACTACCTTTCTGCACATGGTGTGTGTGTGTGTGTTCAGTCGCATCCAACTCTTTGCAACCCCATGGACTGTAGCCCACCAGGCTCCTCTGTCCATGAGATTTTCCAGACAAGAATACTGGAGTGGGTTCCATTTCCTTCTCTAGGGAATCTTCCCCACCCAGGATCAAACTCAAGTCTCCTGCATTAGCAGGCAGATTCTTTACCATTGAGCCACCTGGGAAGCTTCTGCATGTTAAGTACTAATAAATAAAATATATTGATTACTCTCTGTGTACCAGACATTGCACTGAGCACTTTTATTGCATTCTCTCGTGTTTATTCCTACAGCACTCCTCTACCATAGGTATTTTTGTCATCCCCATTTTTCAGAAGATAAAGAAGTAAAGTGAAAAACAACAACAATAATAAAATAAGAGGTAAAGTAAATCCTCAAGACGGGTCACACAGCTTGAAGAGGCACAGCCAGGATTCTACCTTGTCTGACTCCCGAGTCTGAAGTGTTTTTAGTTACCACTCTTTATTGCCTCCCCTACGGGTATTTCTGGCTTGCGTGGAAGTCTGAACAAAAATACTCACCCTCTGGTTATTTTTGCCTTGCCTTTAATCTTAAAACAAATATTCAAACAAAAGTTTTTAGTGAGTAGTTCATATTTGTGTTTCTAGAGAGTTGAGCTCTGCTTGAAAACAGGTTATTAACATTTTCTTACATTTGTTTTATTTCATGACTAAAATATGGGATCTTGAAATAGAAACGTGCCTTGCTTCCAATGCAGAGTGACAGAGTAAGGAGGAAGCTGAGAAGCAGAGTGCTCTCAAAATAAAAGCTCTGTTCTGAAATGCAACATAGTGTGAAGTGAGACCCCTCCAGAAATCTAGGACAACTTGAGGGGAATCAAGTTGAGGAGCAAAGTCGTTTGCTACCTATAATCTTTCAAGAAAAATAATTAGAAACAGGCTGCTTACCTTTTTGTGAATATAGAAGATAAGGCTTTGTTTAATCTTTAAAGAGAGAAATTTCTAGTCTCCTTTGTCTTAAATGAAATTTTAGGGTAATGTTTTCAGCAGACAATTTATGAAGGTACTATCCTATAAAAGAAACACCAAAAAAAAAAAAAAAAAAAAACAAAAAAAGAGAGAAACACCAAAAGAGCAAAAGGAGTGATTTATTGTCCTTATAATCACTTATCTTTAGCATTTAGCTTCAAGATCCTTTTTACAGCCTCCCAATTACTTGTTTTCTTTAATCTCTACACAGACAATGTAAGAGGAGTAAACCTGTCAAATAGACATTAAGAGAAAAGGAGTCCACATTCACCAAATAATATAAAAGACCACCTACTCACTATTACTTAATTGAAGTGTAGTTAATTTACAATGTTGTGTTAGTTTCGGGTACACAGCAAAGTGATTTGGTTTTATATATGTATATATATTCTTTTCCAAATTCTCTTCCGTTATAGGTGATTACAAGATATTGAATATAGTTCCCTATGCTATGCAGTAGGTCCTTGTTGTTTGTTTATACCTCCTACTTACTATTAACCGGGGAGAAAGTGCTCAGAGAAAACAAGTCAAAAGTTCTAAAATAGGAAGCTGCAAGCTGCTTTCCAGTCTTTGACCAACTCTGAATAAAAACTTGCTTTAGGTTTCTTGGTCTGTAGGTGCTTATTGAGAAAGCCTTCACCAGCAGGGGCCATTGGTTGCATGCTTTCTTAAAAGGAGCCCCAGAAGCCTTGTTTGAAATTTGTAAATCAAAAAGACTTCAGTAGAAACATTCTTTCCTTGTTGTTCTTGGGAAGAAAATACACCATTAAAATAACACCGTTTTACTCTCACAAACTGTTTTGAATCCTGAACCACCAAAAAATATTTTTGTGTATCTTATGTAATCAAACTGCCAATACAGATGATTTCTTCTGAAGCATTTTTGTGGGAGGTGTGGAGAGATATAGGTAAACATCTTCCAAAGTGTATTTTTAGTTT